AGGCAAAAATACGAAGTACGAGTAAATTGGAATTTTTGGACATAATAATTATTATACTCGTGATTCTCTTCCTTTCTATGCTGAGTAGAGTTTTTAGTTTTAAACATGCATGATCGCAGATATTGTCAATTTGTATATTGTTTTAAGTAATATATATATATATAAACACATGTTTGTCTAGTTCTTCCACAAATAACGCAATTTTAATTGAAAGTACACGAACTGATTTAGAATAATAGATCAATCAAGTAGGAAGTTGTAAGAGGTCACAAAAAAATACATATTTTCTCTAATAAATATTAATATCCAATCTCATTTTATTTTTAAGTAATAGGACTTTCAAACCGTTTTTAACGTGCAATCCGCCATTCACCGGCCACTCGGCAAGCAAGCCAGTCAACGTTTCGTGAAATATTAATGAAGTTTCAAGTAATGAATTGCGTATCACTTAACATGTAGAAATAATACCATTTCCATCCTCCATTTAAATTTTAGCAACAATTGATAATTTTAGTCACAGCATTCTCATAAATATGGTATAGAATTGTCTACATTTTTAAAGCTTCGTTACTTACACTCTTCGGCTGTTACGATCTCTGTATGTAACGAGCTATAATACTATACTTGCTCGTCCTAAAACAGCCTTACATACTAGGAGCGAGCATAATTATCCAACACATAATGCTCACATTTTCAGATTGTAGTTATTCAATAGAAATTTTACAAATGATTTTAATCAATTATATAGGGTGAATTACGTAAATTGTTACAAGTGAATATTTCCTAACTGAAGTGAGATATTGAAAAACTGTTTGTTGGGACATCTATGGTAACGGGAGACACACTTTTTATGGTATGTAAAATATTTTTAGATTGGGTAAATTTTGAGTTTCCAAGGTCACCTTCATTTCTTTAAATGGAATGCTACATTTTTGACCTCGTGACCATTTAATATGCGAAGACGAATACAATGATATGTTACAATGTGACATTCAAACGATCTTGACTGACGCGACTTTTTTATTAATCGGTTAACTAATAGTATCTATTGCTGTTGCTACTTACCAAGTATTCAACACTGTCAAAATGTTATAATAGATGTTCAAAATGTTTTCCATCTACTTTTAAACATTTACATATTCTCGCTTGAAGAGAATAAAAAAGACGTTATGAAAGGTAGAATCGACAAATTTGTACAGAAATTACACCTTAAATGTTGACTTCAGTACGACAATCTTTTGCTTACGTAGACCAATTCGTTGTTAATGAGTACACAATTTGTTAAATTAAAATTTTTTTCTAAACAGAATATTTCCTGAGATATTGAATCTAACAGACTTCTTAATCCCAAATTTGAATGTTATTTTAACCCCTTCAAAATTAACTTTGACATCTAAGGAAGAGTGTATGTTATATATTTTTACGGAAACCACGTTATAGTAAATATGTAAATTTATGCTTCGGGATTCTTCTTTGTGAGTTTCTAATTAAGCAGAAGTTAATACATCTTGTTAATAAACAGTTACGACAGAATCGTGTAATACAGGATTGTATTGTTGTACCTGCTAAAATCATGCATGGATAAATCATTTATGTAGAGACCTGTTGCGATCAAGGCATTCAAATCTGGCATTACAGGAGTACCAAGATACATCATCATCCTCCAGTTATCCATGTATATCATTTGACCTAAGGGACATGATTAATACTTTGTACCAAGATTACCAAGTTATGTTACATTTTATAAGGAAAACACGTGTTCAGACCACTAACTTGATTTTGATTACTTAAATTATACTTCAATTCGAATTTAGAATACTTTAAATACTAACCTGATATACTGTTTCTAAGTTAGTGATTTTGAAACTTTCCTCAATAAAAAGTTCACAAATTTAACTGAACAAAAAATTATATTAAACGCTTTACTTCAAATATGGAATCATAACTACATACATATATGTTAGATACTACAGTTCGTATCTCTTGTAATCATCACTATATTCCCATCCACTCATCCACTATATTAAGTAACTTTTCCGGTTTATTGCGTCACGATCGACAACTTCAAATAAATTATTATTTAAGATTGTTTTTCATTTACAAGTACATTTCATATAACGTTTATAATGTAGTCTATGTTTATTTCTCTTGCTAAAATGTAAACCAATTATAATAGTTTCCTTTTATTGTGGTTTTACATCACATCGACTACTTGATTATTCGTTGCGAAGATTGATCCACAGGGGGTGTCCCATTTTAATATACAGTATGTCCGTTTTAAGTGCCTATACGTAATTATTTCTATAAGTATCAGAAATACGAGAAAATGTTTCAAATGAAAGTTGTATGATCGAGGGGGGCATATAATCATGATAATTATTATTTAACCTTGAGATAACCTTGGACAGTCCTGTGAAGGTCACATTTAAATTTTTAAATGGAACACTACATTTTTTATTGCATATTCTTATAGCTAATACTGAGACGTATTCAAGACACTACCCACACATGTATTTTTCGTAAGCCGTTGTTGAGTTATTAACTATCAAAGTTTACGTGCAGTCAGCATTAGCGTTACTCAATGTACACAACCAATGAATTAGAAGAAAGAAGAAATATGTGATTCCAGCAAGATGGTGCACCTCCACATTACATGTCAGCAGTAAAAAAATGGTTGAATGAAAATTTTCAAAATAAGTGGATTGAACAGTGTCAATATCATGGCAACCAAGATTTTTCGTCATGCGATTTCTTTCTGCGGGGGTATCTAAACAAATAATTTATCACATTCCAGTTGAAAGTGTAATGCATGTACAGTAAATTCTCCACAAGTGTCAGTCCGCAAGGAAGCTAAACCTGACACTTGTAGAGTGTTTATCACATTCCAGTTGAAAGTGTAATGCATGTACAGTAAATTCTCCACAAGTGTCAGAACGCAAGGAAGCTAAACCTGACACTTGTAGAGTCAGGGACTACGTTTTCGAGCCTCGCGCCCGCCTTTGTAGTTTGCCGAACGTAGA